GGTTAGCCGGAAGCTGTACCGCGGTGCGTGAGTATTCGTTGCACGATCACCACAATTAGTTTAAGATAAAATGGGCGGAAACGAGTTTGAAGAGCAGGTGTATAGTGAAGATGAAACATTCATAATTTCAGTAGAAGCGCTGTCATCGAGCGGGAGGAGGGCAGAATGATTCAGGAAGAGACACAAATGGCTTATAAATGAAAGGTTTCAAATGTCGATACAGTTGGAAATGCTTCTGTGAACACGGAACAATAGACTTCGGGGTTTTATCTTTAACGGATTGATGGGTTTGTATTATTTATATTGTTTAGGCTTAGATCGCTTTGATGTGGGACTGACTGCACGATAGACACCTAACCTTAAAACACCATGTAGGTATGTTCCTCATATAGGTCCGGAATGCGGATGCATGTAGTCAAAGCGGTGAACACAGCCGCGCCCAACAACCCTTGCCGGAGCCAAATTGTCCATTGTGCCTTCGGCAGGCCTAAACCAACGGAGTCTGAAAAGAGATGGTAAAACCCAGCAGTCTGGGGTAATATCCAGCAGAGAAGGGATGAGGGGGAACAGAGCATGTTACGAAAGAATATTTGGAAAGCGTAAATGTCCGAAAGTATACATATTTAACAAAAAATGCACACCGGAGACACAGATCACAATGAGATAGGTTGAAAGGTGTACACAGCTCCTTGCTCGGCATGTGCCACGAAGAAGAGATGGATCCGAATGGTAGAGATGAAAGAATGAAGCAGAATTTCTAAAAATATGGGTGACAAACCTAGTGTAGATTTCCAGCTGGAAAGTTTGCTTTCCAGTGATCAACGTTCGTTGAACGTTGGTGTCAAAATTCAGTTCTTCAGGAAATGATCTCAATATATTTTCTCTAGTCCATTGGACACAAATCATATTTGGAAGGGGAATCATCGGCGTTTATATATAAACCTGAACCAAGCAGATTGTTCAGGTCGGCAAAATTAAAGTCTTGTACTGACCAATCATACAAATGCAACTGATGCAGTAAAACAAAACGCTCAATTCAAGCAACATTACAATACATCCTTCTTCTTTTGGAAGTTCTTCATTATGATTCTGTTTGGTATATTCGTCCACTTCGTGTTCGAGATGGAGATCATGCGGTCATACTCGTTGTTGATATTTCTCGCTGCGGTTCTTGTACGTTGATTGGTATATCTTCCTGAACGGTATTAGGATCGTCTCTTTCTCTGTTTTTGTCGTCATTCTCTTCCATTTTCCTCAAATGAACTCTATTTTTTGGTATTATCCGTTGACCACAGCGTACTAGGTAAGATTTTTTTGTTGCTCGCGTTATTACTTCTCCCTTCACTCACACCTTTTCCGTTGGCTCCAATGGTTGTATCCAAACCGTGTCTCCTGATCTGAGAGAGCACAAAGGTTTACTGCCGCAGTCGTAATACCTCTTCTGTAGCGCCATGCGTTTCCTTAGCCTTGAATGTATGATTATTGATGGCGTAGTCTGTGGCTGTAGTAACTCGTCCCAAATGGGTAGAATTGTGCGTGTGCGTCTGCCAAATAAACGTTGGCTTGGGCTGGTTCCCATGTTGATCGATGGTATGTTCCGTAACTCGAGCAGGGCATTATTGGTTCGCTACTATCCACGCCACATTTTTTGATAGGCTTCTTAGCCTGTTTTACTGAGCTTTCTGCTTTGCCATTGGACTGACTATGATATAGCTAGTAACGTGGTGTTCAAAACGTCATTGTTCACTGAATTTCCGGAATTTGGTGCTACGAAATTGGTGGCCGCCATCGGAGATCACCTGAAGTGGTATTCCGTGTCGTGCGAAATGAATGCGCAGTTTATTAATGATCTCCGCCGATGTGCTGGATCGCAATACATCAACTTCTGAAAAGTCACTGTAGTAATCAACAGTTATCAAGTAGGTGTCTTTCCCGTGAAAGAATATATCAAGCGCTACCATATGCCATGGTCTCCCTGGTATTGCACGCATATTCATCGGTTCCTTCGTTTGTCGCTAATCAAACTTCCTGCAAATTTCACATTTAGCAATCACTTGTTTTATCTGTTCCGACGTACCCGGCCAATAATGTCTCCCTGGCGCGACTGAGGCATCCGTTTGTACCGGCGTGAGAGCAATGTATCAAACGCATTAGAATTTGTTGAATCACTTTTGGTACGACTAACCTTTTACCACGAAAAATCAGTTCATCGTGAACAGTTAATTCATCTCGAAATTTAAAGTAGGGCAATACATCCATATGAAGGCTTTTTTTGTTCTTTGGCCAACCACGTGTGATAACTCCTTTAAGTTCTTGCATACTCGAATCGTCAATAGTTGCAGTTCGTATGTGAGACAACTCGAGCTGCGTCACCGCCAATGCAACGTTCACGGATTCCAACTTTTGTTCCTGTCCTGTGTCTGGCAATGTGGCTCGTGACAACGTGTCCGCCACAAACATGCGTTTACCTTGTTCGTAATGCAGCTCATAATTGTATTTCTGTAGACGTATTAGCATCGATTGTAATCTCCTTGGTGCTCTATGGAAGGCTTTATCCACAATCATGATCAGTGGTTTGTGATCCGAGTATACATGCGTGAGCCGACCAAATGTGTAATCTTCGAACTTCTCCAGCGCATACACAATTGCTAGCATTTCTTTCTCAATCTGGGCGTACCTTTTGTCACAGTCCGTTAGGGTCCTACTCCGATAATCTAATGGAAGCCCATTTCGGAGGAGCACAGAACCTAATCTAAATTGACTGCTATCACATCTTATGCACAGAGGTGCATTGAGATCGAAATATGCCAGCACTGGGGCTTTCACAATAAGTTGATTGGTGCGATCAAAAGCCGCCTGATATTTTAGTGTCCAAAGTCACGGTTCTCCTTTATGCATCAAACGTTGAATCGGTCGCATAAATTCCGTTAGTTCTGGAAGAAATCTACTGAGAAAGTATATCATTCCATTGAATCGTAATACGCCTTTTGCATCAGTTGGGGGAGGCATTTCTACAATCGCTTTAACCTTTTCCGGGTCCGGTTTAATCCCTTCGTTTGTAAGTAGGTGACCGTGAAAGCTGACTTCCGATTGACAAAAGGTTAGCTTGTCCTGTTTCAGCTTGATTCCGTCTCGTATACAACGCTGTAAAAAGCCTTCAAACCATCCATTGTGTTCATCTTCATTTTTACCAAAAATTAGCATGTCGTCCGCCACGCACAATACCCCGGGTAGATCATCTACCGCTTAGAGGATTCGTTTCTGAAACAATTCACTTGACACTTCCAAACTGAATGGCAGTCTTTTCCAACGATATCGCCCGAGTGGCGTGCCAAAAGTGCTCAAGTAGCTCGATATATCGTCCAGCTCTAAATGCCAAAACGCAAAGGCTAAATCCACCTTCGTAAAGCATCTTGCATTAGCTAATTCCGTAGTATGTCGTCAAAAATTGGCAGCGTAAAATGCTCCTGTCTTAACGCCTTGTTTAATGGTTTCGGGTAGATACATATTCTCAATTCCCCAGACTTTTTTGTCACCACCACAACCTGACTTACCCAGTCCGTTGGTTCATGGACTTTCTCCAGAACGCCTTTTGCGATAAGATCATTTACTTCACGCAAAAATTCATCTCAAACAGCGAGTGGGATCCGCCGCGTTGGTAAAACAGCGGGCTGAGCAGAGTCTCTTTATAAAGTGTCACAGTTCCTGGCAACTTTCCCAGTTTTCCATCAAAAACGGAGGCATATTTTTTCAGGTAGTGTTCAGTGTCTTGACAGATGTGATGAACAAATGAATCGTAGTTAAACGTTACGAGACCAAGTCGCTCGATAGATTCGTATCCCAGGATTGGAACATAACCAGGCTCTACGACGACAAAACTCACGACAGTAGAGATTCCGCTTCTGGGATTCTTCATTGTAATAGTGGTTTCTCCTTTCGGCTCCACGTTCGCACCGTTCCACATAACCAATCTCGTTTGGGTAGGGTCCAATTTGGTATCGGTTATGCAGTTTCTCGGTATTGTGTTCACAGACGCGCCAGAATCTAGTTGGAAGGTTACTTCTTCTCCATTCACCAACATCTTTGCAAATATGCCTTTCCGTTTGGCTGGGAGTTGTACTCCATTGACATGATCCGCTGCTGAAACGTGAGGTTCTGAGGTTGACTCCTTCTTCATGAAGCACTTTGCTGCAAAATGATTACGCTTTTTGCAGTTATCGCACGTTTTTCCCCAAGCAGGGCAGTTGCTCCTTCCCCTCGTATGTATGCGGCCACAAAAGCAGCAAGCAGTCGTTGGATGTGTTCGATTTTCAGCGGTAATTTACACAATCAATAGTCCTATGTTGTGGTAAGCGTTTTCATATGCTTCTCTGCTGCTTCTTCACTCTGACATATATCGATGCGTTGTTTCAAAGTCAGCTTTGGAATTTTCAGGAGGCGCTTCACCACAGTAGAATCCCGTAGGCCAACGACAATTCGGTCCCTTATTAGACTCTCTTCCAGACATGCGCAGAAGTTGCATGAACGAGCCAGGTATTTTAGCGTTGGGACGAATGTGTTGAGGGACTCAGGATGTTGCTGTTTCCTCTGGTTGAAAATGTATCGTTCATAAGTCTCGTTAGATTTGCCAAGACAGTAGCGCTCCATCTTCTCCATCACCACCTGCCAATCTGCATGGTCCTCATCCGGACTGTACGTGAATCCATTTATAACACGCAGAGCATTCGAACCAATCGTGTGACGGAACAAAGCCAATTGCACCGGACTGGATTCGCGGTCCATCTCTGTCAGTGTACGAAAATCTCCATACTGTGTTCGCCACAGATTCCAGTTATCAGCAAATCGCCCCGTCTCCTCCATATTCAGGTACGCCGGCGGTTGGGCCTGCAGTCGACTATTCATTCTCTCCGACATGGGGAATTTCGCATCATCCCACCGCTGCCACCATGTCAAAAGCCAGTTCTTCAGGAAATGATCTCAATATATTTTCTCTAGTCCATTGGACACAAATCATATTTGGAAGGGGAATCATCGGCGTTTATATATAAACCTGAACCAAGCAGATTGTTCAGGTCGGCAAAATTAAAGTCTTGTACTGACCAATCATACAAATGCAACTGATGCAGTAAAACAAAACGCTCAATTCAAACAACATTACAACACAGTTGGGTTGCGAATTTTGGTTTACTCACTACACTGACTACAGACCGCGGCTCTCTATTTCAGTCTACATTATTCAACTCAGTTTGAGCCATGGTGAGGTGCCAACGTATACGCAACACAGCATATCACCCGGCCGCTAACGGATTTGTCGAAAGTTTCCATGGACTGCCTAAAGTTGTCTTAGTGCATATTCAGTCATTTCATGGGCGGCGGCACTCCCGCCCGTCCTCCTTAGCATAAGAAATGCCATCCAAGACGATCTAAAGTGTACGCAGGCCGAACTATTATGTGGGCCTACACTCCGTCTTCCCGGAGAGTATATTTCACCACACAAAGCTTCACTTTAAGCGTCACCGGATTACATCCAACGGCTTACTCATCACACGCATAAGCTAATTCCAGCTGTCATACGCTCAAAGCAAAAAGCATTCTTCATACATCCAGATTTAAAGACTTGCACACACGTTTGGGTCCGTTACAATGCAGTATGCAGATTCCGACAGGCTCCATATAACGAACCTTACCGCATAATGCGACGGAGCGAGAAACAGATAGTCATCGATAGGAGCGGCCCCCACAATACTCCATCGACCGCACAAAGCCAGCATACGTCAATGCAACATCGTTCACGTCAACCCCTGCCAACCAAAAGGCTTCGGACCCCACCACATTGATAGCACCCACCCCACGGCGACCACACTAGGTTAGACCATTCCTCCCACCGCAAGCACATTATCCTCTATTTCAGGAACGCCTCCATTGCATTCACTTTAGCGGGTTCAAACCCCAAAACAACTCGCACCGGCCCTTCGGTCCGTATTCCAACTCGTTTTGTGGAATGTTCTTATTACTAGCGCAATCCGTTTTTACAAAAAAAAACAAAAAAAACGTGTTAACAGAATGTTTACATATATACTTTTTAGACATGCAAAAGCAAAAAAAAATTTCTTTTGCCGGTCAAAGGCGTATCTATTTATTGGTGCCTTTGTTTTGCGTTAGTGTAACCGTACTCAGTATCTTTTGTTTTGCTTAAATTGTGGAGCAGAGGAACGCTTTTATTCGCATCATGAACGACATAAAGGTTGCAAGACATTTTACATTCATAATTGTCGATTGGCAATCTTTTGCCGCTTTGTACGTTTTGAACCTTGCATCCCACGGGGCTTATTGTTTTGTAACCAATGGCCTAGATGGCTTAGGGTGAGGTTGACGTTGCTCCTTATCTCAGTGTTCTCGTCTATTGTGTGACGCTCCGTTATTGCGACGTCGTGGAATCTTTCCACCATAAGAAACTGACTCGAGTTCATACACCTTCCCTCTGCTGCACGTTAGCACAACATTCACAGCTGCATACATTCTTGCTCGTACAACATTGCATGAATCCGTGCTGTCGTCGAGCATTTACACATGAGATGAAAAACTCCAGGGAACCCTCGGAGAATTCATCTCCCGTTCACATTTCATCCAGTCATGCGTTCCTACATTAGCCTTCACCATGCACCATAAACTGAACGAAACTGTTCAACATACCTATGGAAGATCCATCTGATTTACATAATTAGGTAACTTACGGGTAGTTTTACTCTGGACCAACGTACGGCGAAAAGCAGCTGCCCTGGTGGTCACAGTTATAAAATCTGGTTTGTGGTTTCACCACAGACACGATCACAAGGTGATATCTCCAAAAGTCGGTGCCTCGGCTGTCTGGTTGAAGTTCCTTATTACCACCCTTCTAGGGGAGGCTGGTGAAACGGTTCTTCAACGGACAGTTTCACAACGGCAGTTTTTTCTTCGTGCCTCTTGTTTTTCTCTTAGTTTCATGATAGATCCATTCAAGCCGGACGTGATTATCAAATCACTGACCAGTATCATATTCACCTCACACTGGGGACCAGAATCCGAACAGGTTCAGCTTCCAACCAGTCCTGTATAACTGAGAACCATCGGGTACATACTCGAAGAGGTATCGTGACCGATTATTGTTTGCTTTATTTTCAACTGATGTTTATTTCGTTCGACTTATTTGGCTACACCCTGTGGCACATGCTCACCAGGTAGCAGTGTCCACTTTCTCAAACAATTTAATATCAGTACACGGATCCAGCCTCCAAGCTAAATCTGTGGAACAAATTCCCTGTAGGTGCATGCTTTTGACCTATTACATCTTGGATTCTGTATATATATACATATATATTTCATTTACGTTTGACAACGATTCCTAGTTTGGATTGAAACGTTTTAATAAACATTTTACAACTCAGTGTACGCCTCAATTCTCTCGTGAAATATAAATTTAAAGGTACATATACGTTTCGGCATTATTCCACGGTGCATATTATTCATGGCATGTTTTGTTCCCCCAACTCCTTCTCAGCTGGGTATCATCTCAGACTGNCTTGTTCCAGAATTGGTTGGTTTGGGCCTCCCGAAGGCTTGGGGTCTGCACCCACAATGGACAATTTGGCTCCGGCAATGGTTGTTGGGCGCGGTTATATCCACCGTTCAGACTACATGCGTTTGCATTCTGAACCAGGTTGAGGATCACACCCCCTGCCTCACCTACAAGGTGTTTTAAGGTTGGGTGTTTAGCGTGTAGTCAGTCCCACATCGAAGCGACCAACGCCTAAATAATTTAAACCAATGCATTACCGGATTGAAGCCCCGAAACCCAAATGAATGTGCTCTCAGAAGCAAGGTGTTATGCAGCTGACAGAGAAACATGTATTTCAGAACTGTATAAACTTGCTGTACCCCTCTTTCCCATTCATTTCTATCCACGAGTCTCCATCTCCTCCAGTTCTTAGTCTCATAGACAATCGATCAGTGTTTTCCTCCCACTAATCCCGCACGTCGAATCCTCTCGATACAAGGTTTGCTCTTCCTTTATTTTCCGTTTGACATGCTCACCTAGTGTATTTCCTCCATCCTCCAAATCAAAGTATGTGACCTTGTCCACTTTGTGTTCTATTTGCACTGCGTTTTTCTTCCGGTCCCCTGCCGTCTCCATTGTGTATATCCTCTAATTGGACCTTTCATATATCTGCACCTTTGATGTACATATGACTATTTTGAACATATGACCATACTCTGTGCATGCTTCACGGGCTTCGTGAAATATACATTATTATTATTATTTTTAATAACGATATATATCACGGATAACCGTGATGCATGCAAAGACATGATCAATTGTACAACTAAATCATCAGTACCGGTAAAGCACAAAAATTTGAAGGTAGCAATCAACAGAAATACAATCGGAACACAAACTGAAAAAGGTCACGAAAAGATGTTCAGATGAGCAGAATGCTCCAAAAGAGCATGTCAGTGGAAGTAGGACAAAAAAAGGAGAATCGTTATAGTAGATGGACGGCGAGATATTTGGACGTACGACAATAAATCAGTGGAATAATGAGAAGCGGCTGGCCGGTCAATGGATGAGAATAGATGGCAAAAGGCACAATAACGGATAGGATGAAACAGAATAGAGTTAAACATCTGTCAAAGTATATATATTCACTATACGTTGTGGCACAGTTGACTTCTGCGGGGTTTCCTTCACTGGCCTTCGATCAGTAATGTAATGATTTGGGTTGTTTAAGTTAGTTAGGCGCTAGTCGCTGTGATATAGACTGACTACAAGCTAGAAACCCAACCTTAAAACACATTGTAGGTGAGGCAGAGGGTGCGTTCCTCAATTTGGTCCGAAATAAGGACGCATGTAGTCAAAGCAGTGGGTACAGCTGCGCCCAACAATCATTTCCGGTGCCAAAAGCCTTCAAATACCAAGTTCCCCCATGTCGTTCCTTCTTTGCCAGAACACCTGGTAGCCGAGGTTTTAGACGTAGTTTTAGAACCTCCCAAAGATAGGCCTTTTGAAGCCTTACGCGACGCCATACTGAAACGCATAAGAAGCTCTAAAAAAGAGCAAATCCAACGCGTACTACGAGGACATGCCGTTGGGCGACCGTAAACCTTCACAACTTTGGAGGCTCATGTGTAACAAAATGGGTAACATCCCACACAACTACGCATTTGTTAGGGAACTGTGGTTTCAAAGATTAGCCCAAGACGTGTATTCACTTATCGCGCCAGCGCATGATATGCCCATAGAGCGTTTTAAGGTTATGGCAAATCTTGCCAGGAACATGTTTAACTCCCCACTGAAATATGGCGAATTTCCGAGTCATTGGAAACTTTCTACCATTATTCCGCGACACAAAAGGACCCTCTACACAACTCTTCCAACTATCGCCCATTAATAATACTCCAATCGCATCGAGATTATTCGGGCGCTTGGTGCGAAAACATATAACTAACTTCCTTCTCTCAAAAAACCTCCACGATGGTCAACATGGTTTCCTGCAAAACCGGTCGTGCAACACCTGTCAACTTGATTTCCTCAATTTGGTCACTGAGGCAGGGGATAAGAGAAAATCCTTAGTGATAATTTTTGCTTGATATGACTAAAGCGTTTGACCGTGTTTCCCATATGCGGCTTGTAGCCAAACTTCAAACTTTCGGCATCAAACCCCCATCCTGAATTGGTTTTCCTCCTACCTCTCCAATCGCACCCAGTCAGTGTATGTCGACGGCTGCTTTTTCTTACCCGCCCTTGGTATTAGTGGAGTAGTGCAAGTTAGTTTCCTAGGACCACTTCTATTCCTCATGTACATTATTGATATCTTCCCCATAGTCCACCATGGTACACCATTTTTATTCGCAGGTGGTATGAAAATAGTCTGAGTTCCAACCACACAAACTAGAACAGTAGAGCAGAGGCTGCTAGAAAAGAGTCTCTGTGTCGAGGGTTGCTGAACTCGACAAGCACAGGACTCCCCTTGTTGCCTTTCGGTAACCATTGAGTGCCTTTGAGAACTTTACTTCTGGGGCAGAGGTTTGTCCCG